TAAATTTTTCCTATATTATCTTACACGAGGGAAGCTATTTTGCCAACTGAACAAGGACTAATTAAACAAACAAACTTGAAATCCGGGTCAAGTGATTGTGGACCTCTAAAGCAATGCTTCTAAAAAATCTTTTTTTTTTGTTGAATCCAAAACGTCAGCAAGCGATGTCGGCTTCTCTTGTTTACTTGTTTTTGTTCAATGCCAATGTTGCCATCAAATAGATTAGAGACAAGCAAATGCAACAGAAGGATGAAAAGTACATATAAAATGTTTTTCCATGCATATCTACGTATAAAAAATGTTAACTATTACAAAAAAAATCGATTCATGCTATTGATTGGGATATAAATGATTTTTGAAGTAAATGTTTTAATTCAACACCAAATACCAACATTATACAACTAATATTATTATGCAAAGTATTCTTTACTTCCAGTTAGAAGATTCAACAATTACATTTTCCTGAGTACTCAGTATCGTTTATCTCTAAATAATTATCATCCATTTCAAAATATCTTAACCAAAACTGACTATATATACAGAATAATATTTTTGTCTGGAAGCTGCATAAAACAAAACACAAGGAAACTACCGTGCACCAATTTTGAAATTAAATTCTAAAATGTCTTTTTAAAGTCAAGTTTTAGATTAAAGTATATAGAGGGCATAATGAATAATTAGGGATATGTTAGTTTGGCAGTATCATTAAATGCAGACAGAGTGGCTTTTTAATTAGACAATTTTTACATTGCCCGCCCCTGCTAGCAATGCCCGATTTTGCAAAGAACCTCTATTCTAACAAACGTTAACCATGGTTCGAGAATTTTTTACAAAACTCGTCTAAATTACCACAAAAGGTAAATCCTGTTATAACAGCTTTTTTAACAATTTATTAATTATTAGTAGCTCCACCGTTGCGTTGACCGTTATTTAAAAATTAATTAAATGACTACACAGGATGGCAATTTTATTTATTGTTGACGATAGAGAACACAAAAACACACTAAAAAGAAATATTCAAAACACAGAACACATGAATAATGATGATCTAACGGTTATCTTAAATTGTTAGCTTGAATCAATTTCTTAAACTAGATAATATTTGTTAAAAATCTCTTAAATAATAAACAACAGTTTAACACGTTACGCTATGCCTATATTTACGCTTTGAAATTAGATATTACAAAAATTATCCCGAAAAAACCTTTCTTAATAAATTTGTTTCAAGATAAAGTTGCTACCAAGGTTTTCTTCTCATTTCAATATAACAATTATTTTATTGTATCAATAACTATATAAACTCAATTTCTCCTCTCCGAGGCTTATACACTTGAAGTGCACTAGAAGATAACCCAAGTCCAATAATTAGAAATCAGATTGACTTTTATCTCAGAATCAAACCATATCCAGGTGAGGATATCTCGTCTGATCACAGTTCGCTCATAGCTAACGTAAAAGTTAAATTAACGAAGCTTAAATATAAGTCTAGTAAAATGTTGTTAGACACAATGATAGATACCAACAGTAGAAACATGTGCGATAAAATTATAAATGATAGATTGAACTTTGCCACGTTCCAAACCGATGGGATAAATGAGAATGCCAATATCAATGAATACATTGTGCATGGTATTAAATCAACAATTGTACATTTAAACAGATATATTGCACCAAAGATCAGAAAGCATAAGAAGCAGGAATGGTTGACTAGCAAGTTTCTGAATTTGACGGAAGTCTGGCGGCAGTGTAAGATCTAATCAGATCAATCTATGTATACCCAAATTCAACGAGAAATCCGGGTTAACATGTGAATAGCAAAAGAACAGTGAATGGAAGAATGAAGAATGAAGTTGGAGCCTTACAGAACAAAGGGGACTCGTTTGGCTTACATAAAAAAGGCAAAGAAATATCACATTTATATCTGAAACAGCATAAATCTAGAATACAAAATAAGCAAAACGAGTAGATAAATCACCCCAACCAATTTGTAAACTCCCAACAGAGGGAATATCTGTCCCACCTATGTTGAAAGATGAGGTCATCAATGCACTTAAAACAGCAAAAATGAATAAAGCATAGAACGAGGCAGTAATCTGTATGAATACCTGCATGTGCACTACAAGCATTTATTAAGTTCAAACCCTTCCTCTATAATCAGTCTCTTTCATTTTAGATCCGTTATAGAATGATGCAGTGTTATGTATGGTCCATATTACTTTATGGCATGGAAACCTGGACCCTAAAAACATCGTCAATCAATAGGCTAGAAGCATTCGAAATGTGATCATTAAGGAGAATTCTACGAATTTCATGGTTCGTATTCGCAATGAGGAGGTTCTTAGAAAAGCTGGCGTAGACAGAGATATTTTTTAAGTAATTATAAAACTCAGAGGTGACTACAAGGACAGATCGACAGCAGGAGAGGTGTCGGTCGTAAGCAGATTTCCTGGCTGCTTAATATAAAACATTGGACAGGTGAAAATAAGTAGAACTTTGCCCTTGAGATACTCGCCAAAGCACTACGTGTAGGGCATGTTAAGAAGAAGAAACTCAATTTCAATAAAAAATTAGTGCGTATTATTCGCTAGTTGACAACCTAACAGTGTACATGTACATGTAATGTACATTCCTGAAAATTTGATAAATATATCTCATCCCCTATCTCAACGGAACCGTAACGGACTGCTTTATGTAGCGAATCGAACGACACAAAATCGAGGCGTGAAAGGCGCTACGTCTCCGATGCAACCGCATAAGAATGATATCTTTATTATGATAACAAAGTAGTGAATGGAGGTAACCTATTTTTCCGGGTTCGAGTCTGCAACGTTACTTCGCAATTTCATTTCGCCCCTCACGACGTTACGTGACAACAACGAACGCAAAATTGTGTCCGTGTTATCAGGTAGTAAAATGTTGTTTCCGACCCAAATTTGTTGCCTCTTATCTATTCCAGCTCCGAGTCAAGCGAACGTGCATCCGATGCACATCATTACGACTTTATTTACAGGGGGAACAATATTTCGCGGAGTTTAAAATGTAAACACAACATAAAATTGCTCAATTCAGGAAATAAAACAAATGACAAAAAGACAGAATATGAAGGTAAACAAATGGTAGAACAATTAGAGACAGAACAAAATGAATAACTTATAACGAGAGAAGGATTAATTACTTGAACTGAGGTGGCTTTTACTTAATGAAAATCCATTTATCAAAAATTACATATTATGACTTGACAATTGTCTCGACAACACATTTGATAAGGACACGGTGTTGTCGAAACAATTGTCATGTCATAATATATAATGTCGTGAAAATCTGAACTTTTAGTTCTTATTTAGGATTAATTACGGCAATAAAACAGCTAAAAAATGGTATGGGTAGAAGGAAAGATACCGGAAGATTGGAAAATGGGTTTAATACTACCGCTGCACAAAAAAGGAAATAACAGGAACTGCAACCATTATAGAGGAATATCACTGCTATGTATACCATTGAAACTGTTTGAGAAAATGGTTGAAAAGAGATTACGATCAAAAGTAGAACCAACTCTAACAGAAACGGAAAGTGGGTTCCGGAAAGGCAGAAGCACCCAGGATCGCGTATTCACTCAGTATACATTCTTACATATGGAAAAAGCGTTTGATAAAGTACCGCGAATAAAAATTTCGAAAAGGCTACAAGCCAGAAAGGTTGACAATAAACTGACAAGCGTTATCAAATGTTTATACAACGAAACAAGAAATTGTCTAATAACTAATTCATCACTTGTATGGACGATCTAATTAGAATGGCAGAACAGCGATCAAAAGACGTTTACATTGGATACCTACAACTAAAGGGTACGAACATATCGGAATGTGCCTTCGCCGAAGATATAACTATCACAGCAGGAACCTCGAAATCAAAAATCTAAATAATTGAGATCGGATAGATGAAAAAGAGAAATTAGAGATTAGAAAATTTTGCAAGGAAACAAAATGAAAGTTTACAAAACAATTTACAGACCAATCCTTACATATGGCTCCGAGTCTTGGATATTGTCAGATAGGGACAAGAGCAAAATTGAAGCAGCAGAGATGAGATACTTTATCATCAGAGATTCCATTCACCAAGACCCCGCGTGCCTTCAGTTTCTCCTGTCGTGATTAGCTGGAGGAGATGGTAATTTTTTTTATGTAACATTTGACAGTTACAATTATTTGTCGCCCCACCCTGGCTGGTCAGCAGTTCACTTAGCTTTAAAGTCCAGCATTCCACCCCATACATAAGAACTGACCAAATAAAGCACCTCACTACCGCAATTTAAGGCTAAGATTATCGTGACAAAAAAGTGCTTCCTACTTTTCAGATGTTCTATTATGTTCCCGTCGAGCAGTTCGTCTTCACAGAGATTTCGGCTAAATATAATAAACTTGTTCTTTTTTTAACATTTATATCGAGTCCGAACTCTTAACTAACAATACAGATTTTGTTTAATAGGTGATACAAACAAGCAAAGCATATATCATTTCTTATTTCAAAAACTGTTCAAGTTCAATATTTTAGATTAGTTTTGTACCCTGGCAAGGTAACATAGATTGACAGAACGCGATCATCTATTTTTGGTCCTTAATACACTCGAGGAAGCAAAGTTAGAGATACCAAGAATTAAAACTAGAAAATTTCCAATTTAATTAACTTTTAGGCAAAAGTCAGGAATTACTCGCCAACAAGAAAAACTAAATTGAATGGCCATTCCAAACTCTAGACATATAGATAACATATTTTTATTGCTCATAAATTAAACTCGCTTAATTTCCAATACCTAATTAATCATAATAGTCCAACAAAAGCCAAGTGATGACGGCCTATAGCCAAAACTAAACATCAAGTGTCATTGAAATTATATCATTTGCAAAAAAAACTCTAAGAACTATTTCAGCCGACTGATTATTTTGTCTACAAGGGGTTCCCGGTTCATTAAGATTGCTAATCACAAATTCATGCCCCAAAACTTTTTCATTTCAGAATAAGTGCTAACAAGATTTCGGTATCATAAGTTTTATATTTTGCCAACTCACACGCAAAAAGGTTTCCTATTAATTTTTGTTACAAACATTTTCATTTGCAGAAATTTAGCGACATTAGTTCACCATTAGTTTCATGAACCCAAATTACACATACGATCTCTAACTCACTCGAGAATTCACTATTTAAAAAAAAATGTTTGTTTGTTGAATCTAACCAGTGAATTATCTCGTAAAATTTGACTATGTATCTAAACAGGTATTTTTTGATCAGTGCCACGGGCAAGCGCGTAAGCTTACTGGAATACTCTTAGTTTTCGGTGTTTTGCGGTGGGTCTCTATTTTCACTTTACTCCTTAATGATTAGAACGTAGATCACTCACAAAAGAATAAAATTATAAACTGTAAATCTTTGATTTTCAATCTATCTAATTATATTAGTATTCTTCTATTAAACTCAAATTAAATTTAAAGAGCTAGTGTCGCATACTCTGATTTCATAGTTTTCTTATTATTGAATAAACTACCACTGCTATTGTTTATAGTGTAAGGTGTAGAGTGAGAAATTACAGACATTTTCAAGGGATATTTGGAATGGATACTTTAAAAAATTACATTGGATGAGGTGTAAAATGTACAGCTATGAAACTTTACTTGTTTGCCGTCTAACCTAATAACCATGTAAGATTTCTGCTCCTTGTTACTAATTAAATGAAATCACCATTTGTAAACAAAACGATTCATTGGTTTTGGATAGTTCTGTACCATAACCATGTACTGTATTTACCAGGTAACTAGACTAGGTTTTGCAGTTTATTTATGTTCCGATCATATGCCAAAGTCGGTTGCGGTCGTAGAAATATCGTCTTTGGTTGGGGTGCATATTCATTTATTAGATTATATGTTGTCATTCCAATGAGATCCTATGTACATATTCAAAAATATATTAAAAAATATTTTTTCTACTCACGTATGTAAAATACCTAATTACACACAAATCTAGCGCGCGGGAAGCGTCACTTTACCACGTCAGTTTCGTTTCCCACGGATCCGAGCCACTTCAGATATTTCCGGGATTTTACCGCACTGGTTTGGGAGCAATCGGATGTTTTCGGAGATATTTCCCACGCCTTGAATTTTGACGTTTGTCAATTCTGATGGTCATGTCAGTGAATGAATTCATATTGTTTTGCAAAAATGTGCCCAAAAACTAATACGCAAAAAAATGTTATACAATATATCAGACAACTTAAATATTACGTGCTATAAGCTACAATTAAAATCTAGTGGTCTAGTGGGTGAGTAAAGTGACATTTATAATTTCAGTTTCTCATAGAAATATTACATACCGTCCTCATGAACTTCAGCGGTTTTTACAGTTTTTATATTAATATCTTGCCAAGACCAATTGTACGATTTTCAAATATCCATGTCTCATCAGTACAAACAAAACAAAATTGAAGGTTAGGTCCTGTTTCTTCTTGCTTATATGATCTTAAATATTTAATCCTCTTAAATGCTTTATCCTTAGATGATTTTTCTATTCCAATTACAGTCTTTTTCTTCAAATAAATGACTTAATGATCAATTGTAAAAGTTAAATAAACAACATAACGTTTTAAAATTGTATTTATTCCGTTGTATATATGACATATCCAGTAGTACATCTCTCTCTGTCTATTAATGACATCTAGTAAATATTTTGTTTAAATGATACGAAATTTAGTAATCGGATAATCTGTTATTACAAAGTTATTTATTAAGCACTCCCTCCGCTCATGCCAAATAAACTCGTGGGTCAAATGCTGTTTTGCTGTTTACCGCACTTGTTGCATAATATACTATAACAGTTGCGTAAGATAAAAACGTAGTTGTACCACTTACTAACCAAAACTAAACAAAACTTTAATAATCTTTAAACTTCAGTTTGCATAAAAAATCCAGTTACGCTGGCGTAGTTAATTAATATTTATTATTTGATTAATTTATTTAAATATGTGTGTCCAATCAAGCCAAAACTTCCCCTTACGATTTAACAATTAGTTAACTCTTTTGTACTCACATAACACACTCTAGCTAACAAATCGCTTAATATCCGAATTATCGAAATAAGTTAAGAAATCAACTTTACTTTAACTCCAAATGTGTTTACGGGCCAAACAAACAGGATTTATTTTACCCGGAATAAATACATTTCAACAAGCCAAAGTCCTCCTGACAGAATTAAAACTTATTTGAATAAAGGACGACTAAGCTCCAGGTTTCGTATTAAAATTTATTTTAAATCTAGGTTACGTTCGTTGAGATGGAGACGAGAAACATAATCGGAAAAAAGGAGACCGCCAGGGATTTATATAGTTAAACCTTTGGGATATGCGGATTTATTTTTGTTTACGAACGAGAGGACAGGTAATCGTACATTATGCACAAATTATGCAGCAGATATGAATTTATTTCCCATGATTCATTTCGATGGCTAGTAATATTAAAAATGTAAGCGTTTGTTTAAATCGCTTCCAGTTGAGTTAATCTTTTCAACAGTATTAAATTAGTTTTGGTAAATTGTCGGGTTTACGTTTAAACTCTCCCGTAAACTTTGAGCATTTCAAATTCTGTCCGGCTATTTGAGAAGAGGCACTTAAATCCGGAGATGTCCACTTGTTATATAAAATGTTAAATTCATAAAAGAATCATTCATAATTGGAACAGTCCATTTAATTTAAAGTGACTTTTAGGACGTAGAACTGAATTAAATGAGTATTTTAAAACGAAGTAGTTATGATTTTTACCGAGATGCTCCAATATTTGTTTTTTTTTCTTTTAAATGTTTTTTAATTTTAATTCATTAATAGTAATTCAATTTTTATTAGATTATTTTTTATTTGGTTGACTCCATTTCGGTTTTTCCTAGCCTACACCAAATGAAGACCTAGTCAAAATCAAGCAAAGATATATGAAATAATATTGTACGTAGAGTATCTGCTAAAGTAACAAAAATCCTTAGTTTTATATCCGTTCGAAGTATAAAATCAATTAACTTTCTGTAAATAGAATAACAAAAACTAACAAAACTAGTTCGTAATAGTATATTATGCAACAAGTGCATTTGACTCACGAATTTTTAATAAACGAGTGAGTTACAAAGTTTACTGAACGTGTTGCATACTATACTTTTTCCAAGGACCGTTAGTTTTTGGGTGCATTTTCGCAAAACACGAATACATTCACTGACATGACCCTCAGAATTGACAAACGTCAAAATTGAAAACGTGGGAAATATCTCCGAAAACATCCGATTGCTCCCAAATCCGCGCGATAAAATCCCGGAAATGTCCGAAGTAGCTCGGAATCATAGGAAACGAAACTGACGTGGTAAAGTGACGCTTCCCGCACGCTAGATCGATGGGTAATTAGTATTTTACAGACGGGAGTAGAAAAAATATTTTTTTTACAATTTTAGTAAACAGAAAATTTGATTTGTTGTTATCCAAATATACATTTGCCGCGAGAAAATGTTTCAAAAATAAATTTACACCAAAAGAACCTAAAAAGAAGCCTAAATATTTATTCAAAACTTAAACAAATCAGCACCGATTCCTAATGGTTGTTATTCATCTTTTATCTCCCTTTTAGCTAAAGTTTGGAAAACCTCGCGCCATCTATGGCCTGGGAAATATTTCTCACAGTTTCCTGGTATAAGGTAACTAACTCTTTCGTAAATACATTGATCGAACGACTGCCATTCGATACGAAAGTCATTCTGTAAACAACCCAAACCCCACACTCAACACCAACTGAAGACAACCGCATTGTATGTACGAAAGAAAGGAATTCTGAAGCTTTAAACAAAACCCATTCTTTAAAAAAATTAATTTATTTATATTCTACATTAAGAACATATACAAGGCTTGCAGAGTAAGCAGATCTATCACATAGTGTGTAATATACAAAGTGTTTTTGAAATTTTTGCAATAAATTTCAAATACTCATTTTTTTTATAATATATGTACACGTAACAAATTGGGAAAATATTTTATTGCGCACTGAACAAGTACGTGTAAAAGTAACCGAAATTTTGATATCAAATATATACATATAACAGCTTTTATTGCTATGCTTGACTAAAATTGCGAAAGGATTGAATTTATAACAGTTTTTCAAGAACCCAATAGGGGCCCAAAATTATGGGAAATTACAATTTTAACTAAATTTCCACAATAATTAAAACTACAATTAACATTTTAGAATAATATGCTTTACAACAGAATTATAATGTATCTACCTAGCTGGTATTTCTTAGGCCTGCGTTTTATACTACATTTGGTGAGTTATTAAACGAAATATATCCTATACCTTCCTCAAATCTTCATCACACCCTGTATTCCCTGTATTTCCTGTTAGTATCAAATTAAAACCAAACCCCTCCCATCCACGATATGGTTTCTCTCCACCGAACAGATAATCTTATAAACGAAATTTTCTATAAAGGCGTGAGTTCCTACGAAATTTCTGTTGCTTCGATCGGCGTTGCTGTAAAAACCACCGCAATCAAATTTTGCGTCGTGCTATCCTTCAAATTTGTGCACTTGTCCTACTTCAAGGCCAATTTGTAAGAGCACGTCCACGGCTGCAGAGTTAAACCCACATGGACCACAAATAACAGCGTAGATATCCTAAGGTAAAAATTACAAAGCTGCCAGTCGGAAAAATCTTAATTTGGTGCAAACTCATACCTTTATCGTATAGCCTGTGTCCTGCAGATGTTCTTGAAGAGCGTTCTCCACCAACTCTTGATTGACATGTCCCGTCGGCCCAGTCCATTTACTGCTTGGCTCGGACAAAACATGTTCAATTCTAAATCTGAAATATCATGCTTGAATCGGCGACCGACTTTAATTTTCGTCACCTCACCTGGGGTCTTCCTTAGATAGGTTTTCAAAATGCGATTTGAGTAAAATATCTTTCTCTGATCGATTGAAAAACAGGAGCCTGATAAATTGACTAAAACATTGCACAAAATTACGTTACGTCAAGCCTACAGTGTTGCTTACCATTTTTTAACTCTTCTTTCTAGCAAAAATAGAATCAAAGATAGCATAGGTGTGATCCCGGTACCAGCTGCTAGAAACAGGAACGTTTCTTTTTTTTCTACGTGCTTAAGCTGAAAATTTCCTAGAGGTCTACTGAATTGGACTATATCATCAATTTGTCTATCTGTTACGAATCTGCTTATGTTTCCTTCCATATATCTCTTCACTAACAGGCATATAGTTTCCTTGGTGGTTTTGTGGGGAATGAGTCTGTCGAATAAACAGTCCGGGACCGGCGTGTAACTTCTAGAAATTTCATTACCTGAAAAATGTTGAGCGGTAAAATTGTCTTAAAGTCATATAAAAAATTAAATGTGGAAGCTTAGTGTCTTTATGAATATCTTAAAAAAACAAAACAAACAACAAAATGTCCAGTATATGTTATTTTGGAAAATGCAAAACCTTCTTATTTATTTCGAAATATACAGCTTAACTAAAACATCTTTTTCGACGATAACTTGTTTTTTTATTTATTAGTCTCGTCCAAATTAGCGGCACATTAACAACAAATCGATACAAGGAGGAGCAAATGTAATAATTTCAAGTTGACGCGATCAAAAAAGATTGCGGGTTTATGGTTACACAGTTCTACAAAATTAAACTTTTTAACACATGTTTTTGTTTTGGTTAGTTAGATTCTATGCATTTGTATCACGAGTATGCATTGTATCTCAAATATTAAAGAAAAAAAAAACGAAATTTCTGAAGTGATTTATTTTTTTATTCAGTAAAAAAGTGGAATTTTAGTTTTAAAAAAAAGTTCTGAAAAAACTATACTCAGAATTTCAGGTTTGATATGAAGCGGAGGCAGTAAAACTTTGTTGGGGTCAACTAAGCTATCTCTTAATACATTTTAATACATTTTGTGTGGTGTGAGGCTTGTTCTAGAGGGATATTCTATTTGAGTTCAGTGTTCAATTACTTCTTTAAATGAAACCCAGGCGTTTTTCTCGACATTGGTCATTGTGTTTTGAAAATACGTGTCTTTGCATAATGTTCTTATCTGCCGCCCAACAACCAAAACTGTTTTTGTCTTGGCTGGAAATTTCTCGCACAAATATTTGAAACACCATCCATTTTTGTCTAGGGCTAAGTTTGATATGAAGAGGAGGCAGTAACAATTTTTGGGGTCAACTAAGATATCTCTTAAAACATTTTTGCTACCAAGTGTAAGGCTTGTTCTAAAGGGTCATTCTATTTGAGTCCAATCTATTGCCCGACTATCCCATTCATAAATAAAGCATGGAAATTTTGTAGAACACCCCTGTTGTTCTAGGAACATGTACAACACTTTAAGGTAACCACAATGCATCCACTGATGTTCTTGGTAGTTTATTTTCTT